CCACCAGTCTGCCCTGTTTACTCCTGTCCACCTGTCTCCAGCCCTCCACCAGTCTCTACCCCCTTTAACTGTTCTTATCAGTCCCATTTAAGTGTCCATTCCTCCTCCTTCATTAGGCCTTGTTGCTTGTTAGCTTCACTCTTGACAGAATGGTCCTCCTCTTGAGAGATATCTGCTGATAAAGAGCCTAAGATAGAAAAGCAGAGTAGCTTAAGGTCAACAGTTTTATAAATATGTTGTACTCCTTGCTGCAAGCCATGTATGGTTAACTGTTTAAATAGGCCATCTTATTTTTAATGTTTGTCTAATTATATATCCACTTTGTACCACCGTTTTTGTATTAAAGGTCCTATATTATGCAAAAGTGACTCTTGTGAGCTTTAAGCCATGTTATAATGTTATCTCATCAAAAATATACTCTGTTTGTATGTTTTGTTTTGTTTGATTCACACGTCTCCAAACCTCATCTCTAAATTTCAAAATGCTCACTAGATGTAACACCTTATGATATCCTCAAACCGTCGTTTTTAAGTTTACACCTTTTACCTTTAGCTCAGTTGAGATTGGCAATTCCAGGGCTGAAATTATCCAAATGAATCAAGTGAAGGTGTATGGAGTTTAAAAACACAGTGGTGCAGGGTACTTACTGCATTACCACATGTTATGACAAGGTTTTCTGAAAAACTCAGCATGAATCTGCAGGATTTTTGTGTTAAACATGTGTAAATGAATAGTCTAGTGAGGTTCATTTGGTCTTCTGATATTTTATGTTATTAGATTCTTTTTTCAGACCAACAGTTTGTTTTCATACCTGACAGTTTCAACTGCTCACTAGCGGTCTTCCGAGTCACATGATGTTGCTGTGATGTGATGAGCTGATTTAATCAGGTTTTGGAGCTGTCTTCCTACCGGTGGAGGCAGGACGACAGCGCCATCTGCAGTCCGACTTCCTCAGGACACTATCCCATCTCTAGCCATCTCTGACCTCTGTAAAAGACAGAACCACATTATGGGCTGGGACGGAGCAAACATCATTGGGACAGAGGAAAACAAACACCGTTGCTGGATTAAACAGCCAATCGAAATAGGGAAACGTGCCCATGGGACTATAAACCAGGACGAGGGGGCTTTTTTCCTCTCACACACCTGAGATACTGTCCTGAGGAAGTCAGACTGCAGGTGGCGCTGTCGTCCTGCCACCACCAGTAGGAAGACACCACCAAAAGCTGACCGGACACGCCACAGCAACATCACGTGACCACTCTGAGGAAGACTGCTAGTGAGCAATCCAAACTGTCAGGTATGAAAACAAACTCTTGGTCTGAAAAAAGTACCTTATAACATATCTGTGTATATGGAACAAAACACACCTCCACGTATGTTATTGATAAGGAAACAACTTTATAAGATAGATCAGAAAATAGCTGAACATGGGCACTTTGACTGGCTAACTTTTGCATTAAAAAGCCTATCTAATAGAAATGTTTTAACCCACATAGGAACAGCAGGGTACTTAAAACCCATGAGGGGAATACAAAGCACTGCAAGACTCCTCTTTCTCATTAACAGAGAATGAACTCCGTGTAACACATCTTCTTTTGTTTACAATCTACATGTGTAATGTCTTTGCTTTCCCCTCTATTTGTATTCATAGATACATTAAAGCAATCACATAACACCAAACAAAGGTGGACCGGGGCTTAAAATAACACCTCAGCAGGAGAGGGGAAGTTTCGTGTTCAAACAATCATTAACACCCCTGACTCCCAATCAAACACAAACAGCAGCCACGCTCCATTGTTCACAGCTCCATTCTATGCACATATGGTCAGACGATAGGCACACGCCGGCTAGACGCTGGCCCGCAGTCAGAGCCATATCAGGGAAGGGATTAGAAAGAGGAGGAGGAGAACAATTGGAATACAGAGGGAAGACGTGAGGCTTGGAGCAAAAACAAAACACACTTTAAAAAGACCTGAAGGATTTCTGTAAAGTCACTTAATCCTTTTAAACAGTTTCTAGTTTCCACATATAGCAAGCCATGTATGGTTAATGGTTTAAATAGGCCAACTTATTTTTAAAGGTTTGTCTAATTATATATTCACTTACCGTTTTTGTATTAAAAGTCCTATATTACGCAAAATTGACTCTTGTGAGCTTTAAGCCATGTTATAATGTTGTTACCTTATCAAAATATATGTGGAGTATATGCATGTTTTGTTTCATTCACACATGTTTGAGTAATGCTTTATTGTTAATCTGTTTACACTACCGGTCAAAAGTGTTACAACACCCTAACTTTTCCAGTTATTTATTGCAGTTCAAGTCGTGCAAGTCCAATGAAGAGCTTGAAATGGTACAAAGATAAGTACTGAACAGCCACAGGTTAAAAAAAAAAAAAGATAAAAGATAACAAAACACAAGTCCAAGCTCTGTAAAGTCCTTTTAAACGGTTTCTAGTTTCCACACATAGAAGGCAATACCTTACTTGAAAATACTGGTCTTTAAAGGGCCCTTATTACACTATTTTCTGATCTATGTTATAATTTTGTTTCCTCATGACAAACATATTACAAAAAAGTGACTCATGTGAGCTTTAGGCCATGTTAAAATGCTGTTACCTCCTCAAAAACATACCTGGAGTTGTTTTGTTTGATTCATAGTAGTAGAGTAATCCTTTATTATTAGTTTGTGCTCTGTTCCACCTTGTGATGTCATGAAGAGGTAGTTTTCACATTAACGGCTACATTTGACCTTTTCTTCAGTGGATGTTGGCAATTCCAGGACGGAAATTATCGAAATAATTCCAGTAAAGGTGTAAAGATTAACAAAAAGAAACCAGTAGAGGATTTCCTTTACTGCCATATGACATCACAAAGTGGAATAGAGTGTTTTTTGTCTGAGAAAAGTGTGTCAAACGTGTCTGAATGAAACAAAACAAAACTCTACATCTGTTATTAATGAGGAAACAACATCACATAGGTCAGAGAATAGTGTAATATAATAAAAAACGAGTCCAATTATGCCTAAATTTACCACAGTTTCATATTATCCAATTGAAATAGTGATTTTTTATTCATGTTGACATAACTACAAAAGTAAACCAGCTTTCCACCCTTCCTGTAAATGCTCCTCCCTGTGTGTGTGGACATGTGTAGTGTTTGTGAGTGACACTGGAGTGAAGGGTCTGACGTGTGTAAAAGTAACAAGTGTGTGAGATAAGCAGAGTCTGGCTGTGACTAACTCTGAGTAAAGGTCAGAAGAGGATCCAGGTGTACACAAGTCAGTCGTGAGTTTCTTTTAGTGAATCAGAGATGAAAGATTGACATTTTAGTTACAAAGCAGTTTCAGGGTCATAGTGGAGTCTTGGTCTGATAATATTTTATGACCAGTAAACGTTCACACCTACTTGTGGAAGTGTTTTTTGAGTGTTCACAATGGGTATTTTACGAGTTACACCAGTGAGCCGCCTTTGAGCAATAGTAAAAAGCTGTACTCAAAATCTGTCTTGAAGTAATTTTAATCAAGAAGAAATGATAAGTATGCACAATCCAGCTTCATGTTCATAAAAGTTATTGAAAATGGACTTAAAAATACACTATGTAACTTTTCTCAAGGGGTCAATTATCTACTAGCCTGATTCATCAGCCGGTTTCAGTTTGTGGAAACCCTCTGACCTCGCAGCATTAGGATTTGTTCACTTGACAGTAGGCTGGTACGTTTTTTATTTAAACAATCGCTGCTATTTGGTTGTGAGGTATGCTAACGGGGTAAACTGGTATATTAAGCTTTTCCCAAATCCCGTGGGAAGAAGGGCAATAATGTCTTTCCTCTTGATAAAATTCACCAAACATTCTCTTTGTTTCCGGCTTTAAATCCTCAATCTCTTGAATCGTTGCCAACACAGAATGTATGGCTCTTCGCTGATTGACTCGTGCCCGGACTCGCTCTTCCGGGGTTCTTGCAAACCGTCTAGTGTGTTCCGATTACTGATTTAGTCGCTGGAGAGAAATAAAATTGAGTGGAGGCACTATGTGGCGCCGGCCTGGCTAACAATCTGCTCTCTTCCATGGTGATGTTATTGCTTGGTATTAAATGGATTTAGTTGATTTAGTCAGATCTGTGGGGAGGTGACTCCGTTCATAGAAAGAATGTATGTTTTTTTCAAGGTAAAAACGATTTGAGATCTTCTTGAAATGTAAATCGATATCCAAGTCTCATGATACGATATCGTCACAGTATGAATCTTACGGTATGATATTTATTGCGATATCGTTGGAAAGCTCACAATATGGTGGGGAGGCTCACGATTAGGGATGTAACAATATCCAAATTGTACATCTCACGGTACGATATTTATTGCGATATTTTGTGGAGGCAATACAGCTAAAACTGTTAATATTTTACTTTTTCCTCATAAAATGCCTTGATAAGACTTAATCCAAAGAACTAAGTCTTAAAAGTGCTTAGAACTGTGATTTCTTCTTGTAGTCTGCACTGAAATGGAGCAAAGGATCATGGTCTATGTAGTTCCCTCTGTCTTTTTTTTTTTGGCTATTGCTGTACCTTAACTCTTAATTTAAGCAAAGAGACTTGTAATTCAATACATTGTGATGGTCCACGATATTATTGTGAGAACTTTGACAATACGATTTCATGATATTTCGGTTATATTTTTTAATTAAAATGATTATTATTACATTTTACTGATGCTGGATTGAAGTTTAATGCTATACTGGGGAATATTCCAGGCAATAACAACACAACAAAGTCAATCTGGTAGCAGATTTTCTACCGTAAACACTTACAGTTACATATTGTCTCTTTAAATTGCACTTTCCTGTAAAATAAATGTAAACAGCATACTTTCTCATAAATTTTCCCTTTCAGTTTGAGAAATGAAAACCTATTACATTGTTTTTCCATTAGGGCTTTTGAAACAAACCCAAAATATAATGTACGCTATACTACATCTTATAATACATTGTTTGTGTTTGCAGGCCGTTCCTCTTGCTGCCCCCTCTGATGGAGTGGATTCGAGTGGCCATTGTTCACGCGGAGCACAGGAAAAGCCTGTTGGTGGACAGTGATGATGTGAGGCAGACTGCCAGACTGCTGCTGCCTGGGCTGGACTGTGAGCCAAGACAACTGAAGTAAATACAACAGCACCTCTTTCATATGTTCTACACTGTATCCACGCACCACAGAGCTCATTTTTCATTTTGACTGACCGCCGCTGTCCAACTCAGGGCTCCGGGTTTACATCAGTCTGAACAAAACACTTTATGGCAGCACAGTGCAAAAGGTTTTAATAGCTTCCTAACAAAAAGTGACAGCTAACCCAAATTAACCTTTTCATAAAGTACATTATCACCTCAAAGCCAGTTAAAGTTTCCATGTTAGGCTATTTTTCTGAGCTCTGTTATAATGTAGTTTCCTCATCAAAAACATACCTGGAGTTGTGTTTTGTTTGCACATGTTTAACACACAAACTCTGCAAATGTATTCTCCTTTCAAACAGAAAACACTCCACCTTGTGATGTCAACATTATAACAACCATAACAGTCTTAAAGCTCATAGAATCCATTTTGTGTGATATAGGAGCTTCAAAAAAAGAGCCATGCATTATGAATAAACTTATGTTTTGTTCTCTCCTGTCACCTTCAGGCCTGAGTGTTGCTTCAGCTCCTTCAAGCGTCTGGATTCAAAAGCAGCCACGGATAAGTTTCACCTGGATCTTGGTTTCCGGATGCTGAACTGTGGGAGGACGGATCTGATCGGTCACGCTATCAATCTGCTCGGGCCTGATGGAGTTAACAGCATGGACGACCAGGTACTGCACAGTTTGATACAGAGATAAAGATTCAACACTCAAGACCGATTTCAACCATGAAACACATTTTTTAGACATTAAAGATGCACTGTGTTAGCCAGGCTGGCGCCACCTCGTGTCTCCGTTTAGTTTAATTTCACTCCAGCGACTGGTCAGGAATCAGGATACACTAGACTAGATGGTTTGTAAGAACCCTGGAAGTTGTAGATCGTGCACCAGCCAATCAGCGAAAAGCTGTGAAGCCATGACTGGGTCCTTTTTGTGATACAGCACAACAGTAAACAAAGCGGTCGAGATGGATGTAGATGAAGCCATACATTCTGTGTTGGCAACAATTCCCGAGATCAAGGATTTAAAGCCTTAACAAAGAGAATGTTTGGTGAATTATATCAAGGGGAGAGACGTTATTGTCCTTCTTCCTTCAGGATTTGGAAAAAACTTAATATACCAGTTAGCCCCATCCATGACCAAATAGAAGCCACTGGTTAAATTAAAAAAAGTACCCGCCTACCATCAAGCGAATGAATTCTCATGCTGCAAGGTCAGACGGTTTCCTCGAAGTGAAACCAGCTAATGAATCAGGCTAGCACTGTGTAACTTGTCTACTGGACGATCTGGCCTAGAATGTTCCACAGTATGGCCATGAACTTATGAATCTCCTTGGAGACTTGCAAGCCAAATTACAGGTTAGATTTGTGGAGAGGCGACCCCACTCACAGCAGGACCCACTCCAGAAAGGTTACACAATGTGCCTTTAATGTTATTTTCGAGCAACCAAAAATATTTCTAAAGCTATTGAGAAAATACAAACTGAAATACGAGCTTTAGTATCAGTTATAATGAGTGTTTACAACCTTACCATGCACTGCAGAGTTTGTATAATTTGGACTCACTCTAATCATAGACTTTTGTTCATTATAGCCTACTCTATGGACAAATCCTGCTGGTTACCCAACTCAAAAACATGCACAATTGTCTACTTATTGTCCATGTTGTCCTTCAGCTAAGGTAGTCTTGATCAAGCCTAGCTCAAAATCTGGATTTGGATCCCTGGGCGCTGCACTGTGGTGCCCCCTGCCCCTGACAGGTTATCCTAGAGACACTGAAGGATGGGTCAAATGTGGAAGACGAATTTCCCTATGGGGACAATAAAGCGAACCATACCTTACATTTTCTTCTTAGACTTAGACAAAATGTATTGATCCACAAGGGGAATTATTTGGACGCAGTAGCTCACACATTACAATATAATATAAATACAATAACAAAAAGCAAAAATAGTAAAATAATAATAATAATAAAATATAGAAATATAGTTCTGTTGTCAGTCTCACATTTCTGTTCTTGTCACAGGGGATGACTCCTTTGATGTACGCGTGTGCTGCTGGAGACGAAGCTCTGGTGCAGATGTTGCTTGATGCTGGAGCGAATCCTGACATCCCTGTAAGTCAAACCACTAAACTATTCATGAGTTTTAGCTTTCTGTATAGTTCTATATATAGTTATAACAACAGGATTTCCAAAAGGACATTAAAAAGAGATAATATTTTCCTTTAAGGCTGCACTGCATAACATGTCCAGTGGAGCGTCCGATACCTGTTTATCTCCATGGAAACGCTTTTGCTTTGTCTAGAATGCTCCACAGTACATATTAAACCTATCACAAGAGAGACAAGCAGATTACAGCACTATGCTACATTACAAGTCAGATCTGTGGAGAGTCACGTCTATTCACAGAAGGAATTATTGTGTTTTTGAGCAGCAGAAACACCCGCAGTGAGTAAATGCTTGACAGATATAAGGACAGGACAACGGTGACGGTTTAAACTCCCTGCTGGAGCATTTAATAATAAGTTGCAATTAGGGCTGGGCAAAAATGAAAAATATTAATCGCATTAATCGCATGAGTTGCTGTGATTAATCATGATTAACCGCTTGTTATACGCAAAACCAGTTAATGAATTAAAAAGTAGCATATAGTGCACTTTTATTAAAAATGTAAACAAAAGTGCCACACATCTCCGCTCCACTTGTTTCGTTGAATGATTTAGCAGCATCAACCGAGTGTGTTGCATTCAGGTGATATTTCAGACTCGTGAAATTCCGGTGATAAGACAATTCAGTGTTGCAGTGGTTACAAATTATTTTGGCTCTATTGACTGCACTGTCTGGAAGAACTTTAAAATGAAAATGGCCATGTAAAAGTTCCTTACCCTTCTCCATGTTTGTTTATTCCGCTTTCTTTCTCTTCAATTTCTGTGAGTACCGCAGCAGTAAGCAATTCTCGCTCGCAATGGACTTTTTCAAAATAAAAGCTAGTGAGCAAGAGACGTTTACAATAAAAAAATAAAAAAATAAAAACTGTGTTAAGGGGAGAAAAATAATTGTCGGCGATAATGAATTAATTAGTTAACCCAAAATTAACACATTAACGTACCCGGTCCTAGTTACAATAAATATGTACAAATAGTGCAAAAGTGCGTTGTGGCAATCGGCTGATGGCGTGGCCAGGTGGAGTCGAGTCAAAGGAGCAGCCATGGGTGTAGGAGGCGGGTCCCTTTTATAGGCGGCTGGATGCGCTGGGCCCTAGTGCATCCGGGTCACCTCAAAATAGAACAACAATTAATACAAACACGGTACAACGGGGGCCGTGACAGACCACAAACGTTCCACAGTGCACCTTCAAAATGACAAATCGCTATAGCACTTTCTCATATATTTGAAAACCAGAAAATGGATGTAATTCTATCTTCTCTTTTCTACAGGTTCCTCCATGTTCACAGAAGCACCCCTCTGTGCACCCGGACAGCAGACACTGGGCGGCCCTCACATTCGCAGTGCTCCATGGCCATATCTCCGTAGTGCAGGTCGGAATCCAAAACACTCTGAAAAGCATTTGTCAGACAGCTGTATGCACGCACGGAGGATATAGCTGTTGTCACTAATCCCGGTCTAGAGGCAAACGTGATGTTGAAAAGTGAAATGGGAGTTCGCGGGGTCAGGACATACATGAGTTACAGCATCACTCAGGCTGAACAGATGTGCTCTTTCTCCACAGCTTTTGTTAGACGCCGGGGCCAATGTGGAGGGGGCTGCGGTGAGGAATGGACAAGAGAACATGGCCGAGACTCCACTACAGTTAGCTTCAGCAGCAGGTGGGTGCTGACAGAATGTACAGGTTAAAAGTCAAAGGTTAAAGGTTCCATATTACACAGAATTGACTCGTGAGCTTTAAGCCATTATAATGTTATTACCTCATCAAAAACAGACCTGGAGTTGTTTTGTTTCATTCACACATTCACATTCATTCCTTTATTATTAGTCCTTCTACATCTCCAAAACTCAAAATGCTCTGTTCCACCTTGTGATGTCATGTAGTGGTAATTTCAAATTGTCTCAGAAGCCAAGTTACAGACACATAAGAATATCTCAGTCGTCCAGGTAAAATTCATGTTAAAGGAGAAATTCAGTTGGTCAAATGGACAATGTTTATTTAAATAATAAACATTTGTCCATTTTTCCTTTACCAATACATACAAATTGCTATGTTTTTTTTAATATAGTTTGAAAAGTTGAAAAGTTGAATGTTCCAAAGTATGGCATTAAACATCTCGGTCTGTGTATCATTCGTTCTTTTGAATTTCAATTCAGAACAACAAGAGTTTATTTCATTATTCCACTTTAGTGTCCAAAAAAAAAACAACACACAGATTTCGACCTCTATTCTCAATATTTAATTTAAAGTTTAAAGTTTCAGTATAATTAGTATTATTTAAAGTTAGTTATTTATTATTATTAGTAGTAGTATTTAAAGTTTATGTCATTGTGCCTATTTCAATTTGGATATTTTAATCTCTCTGGTTATTTGCCCCAGAAGTTCTGCTGCTAGAAGGACTTATCTGAAAAATCGTTGCAATTTTGTGGACAAACATTTCCTCTTCTTTTATAGCAACGTGTTTACTTTCGAGTCTTAGAAAGTCATTTTTGAACTCCAAAATGAGAAACAGGAAGCAGCGATAAAATCTCTTTGTTCAGTTGACACCACAGAGCGATAATAAAAATAGTTTTTTATTGTAGGTCCATGGTTGACACTGCAGCATAAGCATAGTTGTTTTTTTTTTGTTTGACACTAAAACAGAATAATGAAACAACAAACTGTTTTCCCATTTTATTGTTTTTCATTGTTAATTGAAATTCAAAAGAACAAATGGTACAAGGACCCATCTCAATCTTGCATTTATTCAGTTCTTCTTCTTGGAAATAGACAAGTTAAAAATTATTCTGCAGAACATTTCAGGCAGAGCAATAACATCTCCATGACTACAACCAGTCAGATCCTCCACCAAAAATGTCACAAAGTGCAGCTTTAACATTACAGTTACCATTTAGGAAAGAAGGGTTTTATTTATTTTATTTTATTTTTATTTTTTTTGTCTCAGAAGCCAAATTGCAGAATATATAAGAATCCCTCAGTCCTCCAGGTAAAATTCATGGCAAAAGGTTTATTTAAATAGTAAAAGTTTGTCCAGTTCTTCTTTGCCAGTGCATAAAAATCTAAACATGATTTTTTTAAATATAGTTTGAAAGGTTGAAAGCCACATATATTTTATTTTAACCACTCTTTCTATTCCAGGAAACTACGAGATGGTGAGCCTACTTCTTGCCCGAGGAGCCGATCCTTTGTCAAAGACTCGCGATGGAAACGCACTGACGTCGTCTTTGTTTGAAGACATGAACTGCTTCAGTCACGCGGCCGCACACGGACACAGGTATGTCTCTATACAACAGCATTCTGATCAAGAGATAAAACACACACAGAGGTTCATAACTGCAGGGAAAGCGCATAAGTTTGTTTACATTTTTGCCTCGTTTTGATTTGGTTTGGTTGGACTGTACCCGTACTATAAATAAATAAATATGTATTGTACTTTTGCATCAGTTGAGTGGCAGTTTGTGAAAAGAAAGTTCAGAAGAAAAGGACAAAAATGCAGGAAGTAGTGCTGCTTTCTAAAAAAAAATACCATTGACGTCAATATGGGAAATTCCATACATGCAAGAAAGGCATAACTATTCTGCAATATATATATATTTTTTCACTGTTTACCGGTTTTGGAATTATTTCTACTTATGTCATATCTGCTGCTCATGTCCAGCCAGGAAGAAAAATTATAAACACCCAAATTTTAAAAACACAAATCTTGCATATTTAGGCTATGTCCTTCTCTCAAACAGAAAACACTTCTTACACCTTCATTAGAATCGTTTGGATAATCAGGGTTCCCTTGGTCATGGAAAAGTCATGGAAGTTGAAAATGTCATTTTCCAGGTCTGGAAAAGCCATGGAATTTTGTAAATTCAATGAAAGTTTGGGAAAAGTCATGGAATTTTGGTATCTCTTTCATGCAACTACAGCATTCTGTTAAGTTATTAGGCTATTATGATTTTTTTCTGAACGTATGCGTAATTTGTTTTTAAGAGATGACAGTAAATGCACTGACAGTATTTTGAATGTTAAAAAACTATTAATACCAAACCATAAAGTGAGTGGAAAGGGTTAACATTTCATATTTAGCCCTAAAAGTCTGATCAATTCTACACATGGCGCTGTAATGTCATGGAAAATTCACTTTACGTCATGAAAAAGTCATGGAAAAGTTTTGAAATTTTGTCCATGAAAAAGAGTGAGAACCCTGGAGAATTTCAGCTTTGGAATTGCCAATCTCTACTGAACAAAAGGTGAAAGGTAGCTGTAAAACTACCACTTCATGACATCACAAGGTGGAACAGAGCATTTTCAGCTTTGGAAACAGACATGTGCGAATTAAACAAAACACAACTCCAGGTCTGTTTTTGAGGACGTACCAACATTAATCTCGACTAAAACCTCAGAAGAATCCATGTTGTGTAATACGGGACCTTTAAACGTCAGAAATAGTGCAAAGCATCAACAAAATGTCATGCAGATCCCACGTGAGCTTTGGGGAGGAATACATCTCTTTAATCATGTGCTGAAAAAGGGAATTTGCTCAGGATGGCCTTCTATATTGGGCCCATCTGTCAGAGGGCACCAACTGCTTAGCTTTAACCTCTCCACCTGTTTACTGTTCCAATGTGTGAAGACAGGATAGACTCAACACTGCGCATTCCTCTAAGCAGGCAGATTGTGCAACCAGAGAAATGGTTTCACACGTGTATTTTTTTGTAGGCCTGTCACAACAACACATTTTGAAGCTCCGTATATTTCTACAGAGATACATAATGATAAATGATAATATTGAAACTACCTTATAGCACTGACTTTTTTTTCTAAATAGACAGCATCATTTAAAGGTGGATTATGTATGTTTTTTTGTTTTGGGGGTCCATCACCTGCTTGTTGCTATGGAGATGTCATTGCTTTGCTTAGAATGTTCCACAGTATGACATTGAACAGCTCTACTTTACTCTACTAATTTACTCAATTACAGATGGTTTTATAGTGCAAAAATACCTAGAAAAATAAACATTCTAACTGTGAACAGGGTTGTCTCTCCACGAAATGTTCACTTTTTACTCTTTCAGTACATTTTTAAACCAGTACTTTAAAGTATTAGAGTTTTGTTTTTTTGAGCATTTTTTTTGCTCCAATATTTATTATATATACTTGCTTTTACTTTTAGGTGCATTGCGTAACTTTTTGGTGAAGGGTCTGTCAAATGATTTTGTTAAAAGTACAGAATATTTTAAGCTTTAAGACTTCAAAATATGCACAAAATACTTTTACTTAAGTTGATTTTTTCGTGATACTTTTTCTTTTACTTGAGTTTTTTTTTTTGCTCCAGTATATATACTTACTTTCTTTTACTAAAAGGTGCACTGTGTAACTTTTTGGTTTGGGGTCCGTCACCTGCTTGTTGCTATGGAGATGTCATTGCTCTGCCTGGAATGTTCCACAGTGTGACATTAAACAGCTCTAACCTTACATTTATTCAATTACAAATTGTTTTATAGTTCAAAAATATCTAGAAAACACAGGCATTTTGACTGTGAGCGGGATCGCCTCACCACAGACCTGACCTGTAACTTGATCTGCTTTGGTCTCCATGAAGATAGACAGGTTTAATACTGTACCGTAAAATATTTCAAAACAGTAACATCTCCATGGAGAAAAGCATTTGATGGATTCTCTACCAGAAATGTTATACAATGCAGCTGTACCTTAAAATGCATATGACAGGTTGGGCTAGTCGTTTTACTAAAACACTATTAAGGCCATTATATTTAAAATTTAGCTAAAAAATAAAATAAAATTGTTTTCCCTTTGGCCATTTTTAGGTTGAAAAATGTTACTTCCTTGTTGGAAATCATGACATCACATTACCTACCAACCATGTTATGCTCCTTTATGTACACAGAAATTCTTAAATAAAAATAGAAGAATACACCTTTATTTTGTGTAAATTGTGACTTTTAAACTTTTATTTACTTTGCATTTTCAGGAACGTGTTGAGGAAGCTCCTGACTCAGCCTCAGCAGGTCAAAGAGGACGTCCTGTCTCTGGAGGAGATTCTGGCAGAGGGGGTAGAGGAAGTTGGCTTGTGCCCTTTTCTGCCCCTGTCGCCCCTGCAGACCCCCTCCTCTGCCCCAGGCCCACTGCCCCAGGGAGGCGTCCCCAAGCTCTGCAAGGCCAGAATGAAGGCGCTACAAGAGGCCAGCTACTACAGCGCTGAGCACGGATACCTGGATGTCACCATGGAGCTGCGCGCTATGGGTACAAACATGATTCATAACTTTAAAGGTTCACTGTGTAACATTTTCTGGTGCAGGGTCTGCTGCATGCTCATCTCCATGGAGATGTTATTGCTTTGCCTCAAAAGCTCCATGGTATTACATTAAACAAAATACATCTAGTATTTATTTATTATCATTATGGATCTTTCTGTTGCTCAAAAATACAATAATTCAGGGTTCCAACGGTCATGGAAATCCTGGAAAAGTCATGGAAATTGAAAATGTCATTTTCCAGGCTTAGAAAAGCCATGGCATTTTGTAAATTTAATGAAAGTTTTGGAAAGGTCATGGAATTTAAGTATCTCTTTCACGCAGCTACAGCGTTCTGTTATCATTAGACTATTATGATTATTTCTGAAAGTGTGCGCATTTTGTTTAAAAGAGACGACAATAAATGCACTGACAGTATATTGATTGTTAAAAAAAAACTATAATACCAAACCATAAAGTGAGTGGAAAGGGTTAACATTTCATATTTAGGCCTAAAAGTATGATCAATTGTACATATGTAGGTACTGTAAACTCATGGAAAATTCGCTTTAAGGTCATGAAAAAGTGACAAAAATTTTGTGAGTGAAAAAGAGTGGGAACCCTGATAATTCCTTCTTCTGTGAATATTGAAGGAATTACCAGAAATACAGTAATAAAAAAGCTCGATCCTCTCAGTTTTTAATCTGCAGTTTAAGACTAGACTGAAAACTCACCTCTAATACTAGCTTGTCAGGTTATCTTGGTGTTTTATTGTAGTTTTCACATGTTTTGTTTTATCTGTATATCTGTATATGTTTTTGTTGACTTTTATATGAAGCACTTTGGTCAGATCAAGTAGTTTTAAATGTGCTTTATAAATAAACTTGAATTGAACTGAAATGAAAAATGCGCCTCAGCTCTATACAAGAGGTCGTAGTGAAAAACAGTGCAAATGATGATTGACAGGACATAGAGAGTATTATCTGTTACATAAGAGTGAGTTGTTCTTGTTGTAGGGAGTATGATATGAATGTAGTCCTGTATCTCTCACTGTTTGAGCAGAGCTGTTGGAGCCTGTTGGAGCCTGTTTGAGAACGACCTCCTTTGTCAGAAAGGTGGAGGCTTGAGCGGACCTCCAACAGAAAAGTTACATAATGCCCCTTTAAATTAGGCTGCTCGATTATGGAAAAAATCATTATCACGATTATTTTTGGTCAATATTGAAATCACGATTATTCAAATGATTATTATTTTGTTACACAATGTAAAAAAAACACTTTGTTATTGATAATTTATGCAAAACTTTCAAATTGAAAAAAAAATATCGGCTACAAGAGCAGTTTTGCGATGTATAAAATATACTTTGAACATGAAATAAGGCATAGAAAAACATAAATGTATCCAAAATAAACTATATATCCAGCTGTTCTACAATCTCTATACTTAAAAAATAAAATAAATATACTTGCACAACCTTCGCCTTGCCTTTAAAGCAGTTTGCTAGACAAGACATTTATTTTTTACATTATTATTATAGTTTTTGGTATATTTGTAACCCAATAAACATTTTTTTTTTTTTAACAGGTGTGCCATGGAAACTGCATGTGTGGCTGGAGTCTCTGCGTTGTGCCCAGCAGCAGTCGCGCGCTGGAGTCACTCTGTCCCTCCTCAGAGAATTCACCACAATCAAAGACGAAGATTATTGCGAGGAGCTGGTCACTACAGGCCTGCCGCTCATGTTCACCATCCTACGCTCCACCAAGGCAAGTCCAGTTTTACACCAATCACATTAGACTTGGACTTAGACGAGCTTTATTGATCCACAAGGGGAATTATTTGGACACAGCAGCTCACACATCACAATATATTATAATAACAAAGAGAAAAAATGTAAATGGTAATAATACATTTTAAATAAGTCGCAAAAATACCAAGAGACTAGTGTGAAATAAAGCATAATTATATATATATTTGTATGCGTACAAGTAAAATAAAAGCGTTTTAAGTCTCGTCTAAAGAATCACTTTTATTCTCTGGCTTTTTTTCAGTTGTGTGGTCCTCTGTTTTCTTTTATTGCTTTGTTTTGTTTTATTGATTTATTTTAACTTATTTATTTATTTTTATGGGTCTATTTTACAGTTTTGTAGACTTGTACCACTTTGGAAACAGTCTTTGTTTATGAAATGTGCTATAGAAATAAAGTAGATTGGATTGAAAATGTAGAAATAAAGTAATACAAATATATCTCAGCTATATACAAAAGATCATAAGGAAAAAACAGTGCAAAGATGATGTGATGATTGACAGGACATAGGGTTATTTGTTACATAAGGGTGAGTTATTATACAGTTTTATGGAGTTTGGTATGAATGTAGTCTTGAAATCTCTCACTGCTTTGTACTGTATGTATTCTCGTGTGTGTTATTAACTAAATATACTTTTTCTTTTTTTTCAGAATGATGCGATTATCCAACAGTTGGCTTCTATCTTTAGTCACTGCTATGGCCCTGCTCCTCTCCCATCCATCCCTGAAATCAAGGCAACTCTCTCCGCACAGCTAGGTACAACAGATACTCAAAACATTCACATTTACACTGCTGGTATAAAACGCAAAATTGCTTCATGTGAGCTTTAAACCATGTTATATTGTTATTACCTTATCAAAAACATACCTGGAGTTGTGTTTTGTTTCAGTAATCCTTTATTATTAGTCCTTCTACATCTCCAAATCTTAAAATGGTCTGTTCTACATCGTGATGTCATGAAGTGGTAGTTTTAAGTTAACTTTTACTTATGTTAGTAGAGATTGGCAATTCTAAGGATGAAATTATAATTATTATTATTATCATTATCATTATCATTATTATTATTATTATTATTATAGTAGTAGTAGTAGTAGTAGTAGTAGTAGTAGTAGTAGTAGTAGTAGTAGTGTAGTTGTAGTTGTAGTTGTAGTTGTAGTTGTAGTTGTAGTTGTAGTAGTTGTAGTAGTTGTAGTAGTTGTTGTAGTTGTAGTAGTTGTTGTAGTAGTTGTAGTAGTTGTAGTAGTAGTAGTAGTAGTAGTTGTAGTAGTTGTAGTAGTAGTAGTTGTAGTAGTTGTAGTAGTTGTTGTTGTTGTAGTTGTTGTTTGTAGTTGTAGTTGTAGTTGTAGTTGCAGTAGTTGTAGTAGTTGTAGTAGTAGTAGTTGTAGTAGTTGTTGTTGTTGTTGTAGTAGTTGTAGTAGTTGTAGTAGTAGTTGTTGTAGTAGTTTGTAGTAGTTGTAGTAGTTGTAGTAGTAGTAGTAGTTGTAGTAGTAGTAGTAGTTGTTGTAGTTGTTGTAGTAGTAGTAGTAGTTGTAGTAGTAGTAGTAGTAGTAGTAGTTGTAGTAGTAGTTGTAGTAGTAGTAGTAGTAGTAGTAGTAGTAGTAGTAGTAGTAGTAGTAGTAGTTGTAGTAGTTGTAGTTGTAGTAGTTGTAGTTGTAGTTGTAGTTGTTGTAGTAATGGTAGTAGCAGCAGTAGCAGCAGTAGTAGTAGTAGCAGCAGTAGTAGTAGTAGTAGCAGCAGTAGTAGTAGCTGTAGCTGTAACCGTAGCTGTAGTATTATCCAAATGATTCTAGTGAAGGTGTATGGAGTTTAAAAACACAGTGGAGCACTTCCTGTATTACCACGTGGCATCACAAGGTGGAGCAGAGTGTTTTCCATTTGAGAGAAAAACTTAATATGAGCCTAAATATGCAGAGTTTCTGTGTTAAACATGTGTGAATGAAACAAAACACAACTCCAGGTATGCTGAAGACAAAAAAAATAACATGGATCAGAAAATACCGTAATACAGACCCTTTAAAACGTATTACTGTTGCTAACGGTTACTGCATTTTTCTTCCCAAACAGATCCACTTTTCCTGAACAACCCGGACATGTCTGATGTGACATTTATTGTTGAGGGGAAACCGTTTTACGGCCACAAAGTCCTCTTAATCACAGCCTCTGAAAGGTACACAGTGAGAAACACAAACAGCCTTTTCTTTTTCTGTTCTTTTAGTGATGTTTATTTACCGTAATTGCTGATTTCTCGAGTGTGTGAAAAGTTAATTTAAAAAGTTGGTTGGGGGTCTGTCACCTTTAAGTTTCTCTGGATGTCATTGCTCTGCCTGGAATGTTCCACAGTATGACATTAAACAATTTTACCCCACATTTACTCAATTATAGGTGGTTTTATTTATCAAAAAAGTATAGAGAAAAGTCACTGCTCCATATTTTTGTACAATTATAACAACAAAACATTTATATTTACCCCATAAATATGTATTATCTCACAAAATTAAGTCATAATTAGAGAATCATCAAAACCTGTCATAAGTTCAGGGTCATTTACTCCATGGAGATGTTGCCTGGAATGTTCCACAATAAGGCATTACGCTTATTTATCTGTATGGAGACGCAAGTGACACCATAGGGCCAAGTTACATGTCAGATCTATGGAGAGTCGAGCTCACTCACAGTAAGAATGTACCTTTTTAAGTTGATAAAATCCCATTTTATTGAGTAAATTCAAGATGTTTATACGTTTAATACCATACCAGGACATTCTAGACAAAGCAACAACATCACCATGGAGACGAACAGATGGCAGACTCTCCACCAGAAAAGTTACACAGTGCACCTTTAACAATCCTGTGTTTTGTTTTTTATTTTCTTGCAGATTCAGGTCTCTGCTGGCGTCAATGAGCTCTGATGGAAGTCCGAGTAAGGAAATAAATATCGGTGACGTCAAATACAACACTTTCCAGGTAAGCTTTTTATTACCTAAAGCTTTATTTTTCCTTTGGGTAAATGTTGACGAGGTGTTGCTGGAAAGTCTTAATGCATGTGACAGAATACAGACTGGTCATAATTCTGTCCAGCTGCTTCTACAAACCTGTTTCTAATGACCGCTGACCCTTTCACAGATGATGATGTCGTACTTATACTGCGGAGGAGCAGAGTCGCTCAAAACCAATGTTCCCGATTTGCTGGAGGTAATGAAAAGCATGTTCCTTTTCTTTCTATTTTTAGTTAAATCTCTGGGCGTATCCAACAGTCTTTTACAACTTTTTCTTTGTTTTTCCTGCTTAGTTGCTGGCGGCTGCTTCTCTGTTTAAGTTGGGGACGCTGCAGAGACATTGTGAAGTGATTTGCTCGAAGCACATTCATCTGGACAATGCAGTCAGCATTTACAAAACTGCCAAAGTAAGTTTGAAATGGGGATTTTACTGCCGCTTTTCTGTCATAAAATGTTGTTTTGCTTTTAAAATTCCCATATTAAACCAAATTGACTCTTGTGAGCTTTAAGCAATGTTATAATGCTGTTGCCTCATCAAAAACAAACCCGCTGTGTTTTATTTTATTCACACATGTTTGAGTAATCTTTTATTATTATTAAGCTATCAAAATGCTCTGTTCCGCCTTGTGATGTGATGTAGTGGTAGTTTACAAGTTAACAGATACTTTTTACCTTTTCTTTAGTAGAGATTGACAGTTCAAGGGCTGAAATCATCCAGATGATTCTAGTGAAGGAGTATGGAGTCTAAAAACACAGTGGGTGTTTCTGTTTGAGAGAAGTACTCAGCCTAGATATGCAGGGTTTGTGTGTTCAACATGTGTGAATGAAACAAAACTCAACTGCAGGTCTGTTTGTGATAAGGACACTAAATTCTGACATAGATCTGAAAATACTCTAATATGGACCCTTTAATTATTCCTAAAATCTCTCTTGTGGAGCAAAATAGAGGGATCAATTAAAACTAAGGAAAATATTTCATACTAGCCTGGGTGGCGCCACCTAGTGCCTCTGCTCAATTTAATTTCTCTCCAGCAACTCGGTCAGGAATCGGAATACACTCGACGGTTTGCAAGAACCCCTGAAGTTGTAGACCACGCATCGGCCAATCAAAAAGAGCTGTGAAGCCATGACGTCAAACTCAAGCGCCTGTCTGGATCCTTTTTGTGATTAAGCCAGACAGGATTTAAAGCCGGAACAAAGAGAATGTTTGGTGAATCAAGGGAAAAGACGTTATTGCCCTTCTTCCCACGGGATTTGGCGCATTACATACGTCATGACCAAGTAACAGAGATTGGTTAAATAAAAAAGTACCCGCCTACTGTCAAGCGAACAAATCCTAATGCGGCGAGGTCAGACGGTTTCCGCGAAGTGAAACCGGCTGATGAATTATACTAACTTCATACACCTTCACTAAGATAATTTCAGTTTTGGTATTGTTAATTATTACTGAACAAAAAGTAAAAAGGAGAAAAAGGTAGAGCAGAGCATTTTGAGCTTTGGAGATGTAGACAGACTAATAATAATTACTCAAACGAGTGTGAATGAAACAAAACACAACTCCAGGTATGTTTTTGATGAAGCTCATAAGAGTCAATTTTGCATAATATAGGACCTTTGAATCTTAGTGTATTTGTTTAAACATGGAGATGATTAACCTGATTAACTTTTATTGCAACATTCACACATGCACAGTATTTACCGTCGTCCTCCATCTCATCTTTCCATTTCCAGGCCCACGGTTTGTCGGAGCTGAGTTCTTTCTGTGAGGGCTTCTTCTTACAACAGATGCCCGCCATGTTGGAGAGGGAGGGCTTCAAGAGTCTGCTGCTGGGACCTCGCCAGGGGAACGGCTCTTCCTCCTCTCCGGCCCACAGATCCGACTCTCCTCTGGAAGAAATGGAGACTACATTAGCGCAGCGTCTTCACCTGCTTTATGTCACCTCCAGAGTGTGAGGAGGACCTAACGCTTACTGTCTTAAAGGTGCACTGTGTAACTTTAGTGGTGGAGAGTCCGTCACCTGCTTGTTTCTACGGAGATGTCATTTATCCACCTAGAATGTTCCACAGTGTGACATTAAACAGCTCTACCTTATAGTTGTTAAATTATAGATCAAAAATACCTATAAAAACATGTATTCTGACTGTGAGCGGGGGCGCCTCTCCACAGATCTGACCTGTAACTGTGAAACATTCCAAACAAAGCAATAATGGATAACATTTGACAAACCCTCCACCAGAAAAGTTACACAATGCACAGTTAAAGTTGCACTGCGTAACTTTTCCGAGAGAGATGGTGTTACTTTGTGTGGATTTTTTTCACAGTATGATATTAAACTTATCTGTTTCCATGGAGACAAGCACCAAGCCAATTTACAGGTTGAGTTTGTGGAGAGGCGAGCTGCTTAGTGTACAGTGGATATTTTTCAAGGCATTGCTTTATTGTAAACAAAAAAAAGAAAAGAAAACAAAACGTCTATAATTAAATAATAAGCAAGTTTAATGCCATATGGACATAACTCGATGCTGGACTTGTATCGGAAAAGTTACACAGTGCACCTTTAAAATATTGCGTTATTTCTCTGACGTGGAGCTGTTCATATTGCACAAAGACCACAGACTGTGTTGTATTGAGAAGGACACTCTACGAAGGATAAAGAGAAGTTGTTCTGATCAGGAAGACGAATGAACCCAGTTTGAACTGACAAAAGCAGAACGTAAATGCAAGAAACTGTAATGCGCTTCTGCCCCTACTGGACAAAATGCGGACTTGCGCTGGAAGACAAGAATATTAGAGTAGTAGATGTGGAAGTTGGTCTTGACTGGAGAACTGTGTAAAGATGTAACTAATGAAGCTATGTGGCCATGCTGGACTTTTGGCTGTGATTTAATGTACCTAATGAAGCTTTGGGAGGACCCTGGACTGAAAATGTATTTATGTATGTCTTTATTTCTATTTGATTTAGTATTACATTCAAAACAAAACACTTACTGAAGTGACACGGACATTTTATATTTAAAGAGAGGAAATGTGAGAATATTTAACTGGGGCATCCCTTTTTATTTTGTTTTTATGCTAAGCTAATTAATATTATCTTTAAAATGTTGTTAAAGAGTTGCTTTTGTGTCGTTACCAGGTTGTCCTTTGTAAAGCTTTTCAGAGATTGTATCCAGTTTTCTACAATATAACATTTGCTGACTTTCCTTTGATATTGGACTACTAACTGCCAGTAATGCTATACAAGCCTGTAATAAACCTGGGAAACACACCTTGTTTTTATCTGTGTACTGTATTATAAAGTCACCACACTTCACAGGCCTAGTATAATATAATACTAGTTTATAATAATAGTATATAATAATAGGCTAGCAAATAACTTGAGTATTTATTTCTTCTCTTTTATTAAAGGTCCAATATTGCACAAAATTAATCCTTGTGAACCTTAAGCCATGTAGTCTCCTCAAAAACAAACCTGGAGTTGTGTTTTGTTTTCACTTTTTACCTTTTATTCTGTAGAGATTGGAAACTCCAGTGCTGAAATTATCCAAATGATAGTGAAGATGTGTGCAGTTTAAAAACACAAGTATGTTTTTGATGACGTAACAACACTGTAACGTGGCTTAACTCTTTCCCCCTTGGACGCCTACTTGGAACAACCCATACATATAAGTATATATGGGTTGTAGTGCCCCCCACCTATCACAGCCTCTGATTACATGTGAAAAACTGAGCCATTTGTCTTAAGTGATACAGCGGAGGTGTCAAAAGACGTCATTAAGGAAAGGGTTAAAGTTAATTTTGTGTAACACACATCGATACAAGTCAATTTATGAGGATATTGTCACCTGAAATTTATTTGAATTTATTTGTCTGGAGGATAAGCCCTTTGAGATGTCTTGCCGTCTTGTTTTTGAGGGGGTCCTCATAGTTACAACAGCAGAAGACAGATACAGTAGGTCAGACAGTCAGCTACATACATTCAAATAAACATCAAAACAACAAAAGCAACACAACCATACACACACACACACACACTCACACAGTCACTCACACTTGACTGTTAGACACATAATAAATCAAATCTGAACAAAAACTAAGACAGAGTTCAAATATAGTCACAAAATACAACAAGATGAACAACAAAATTCAACAAAATTTTCAAAAACAGTGACACAGGATATGAAAATATTGAACCAGAGCATTAAATACTAAATGTTGTTGAGAAAGTAGAAATAGCTGCTGCACCTTAAATTAATTCTAAATCCTTATTTTCAATTCTAACCACAGCAAAAACTTTGGAAATTTAATTCAGATTTGCTACTCATGGAGGATTTTGTTCATGAAGGAAAAGCCACATTACAAGAAATTACAACATTAACACATTAGAGAACTAGACACACAACTGTAAAACTGTAATACTTCAAATATGCAACTACAAATTTTGTTACATCAGATGTCAAAATTCAAGAGAAAAACTAGTGCAAGAAATCAGCATGTTATGTAAAAAATATGAACAAACAAAAGAAGAAGACAACCTTTACAATCCAGTCTGAATGAACATCACAGACTTTTTTAATAGTTACCCACTTGGCTGTAGTCTACAGTTAACAGTGTTGGGCAGTAGTTACAAAGTACAGAATTATATTATTATCATATTACTTCTTTTTTTGGTAATGTAGTAATGTAAATAGTTACAATAGAAAATTTTGTAATTAGATTACAGTTACTTGGGCTAGTAATTTTAAGTTATTTTTCCCCTGTAAAAAATATGTGTTATCCATTAGAACAGTGTTGCAAAACAGATAAAACAGAAGCACAGCTGTCCTCTTCTGTTCAAAGATCAACCAAACCTACACAAATATTGGTTTAATTTAAGGAGGACTGTGCACATCCCTTCTGCTTCACATTAAGCTCTGTTGGTGGTTTTCTGATTTTCCCAGATGTGGGTCAAGAGACAGTTTTTCCTATTGATCACATTATATTTACTCATGAAATATCTAACATATAAATGCACAAATGTTGAACCTGATCATTTCTTTGAGATACTAGACCCAGGGTCTTCCTGTATTGCAACACAAATCTAAATTTTAACAGTATTAATTTTATCTGCACCCTATCAGTATTAAAAAACACTGGCCTACCGAATGTACAGAAAGTACCATTGTAGTAATCAGAGTAGTAGTTAGATTAATTTTAAAAGGAGTAATCGAAGTTAGTAATCAGATTACTTTGAAGTAATCTGACCCACACTGATGGTTGACCTATGAAATGTTTGCTGGCACAAGAGGACTCGCAGTCTCGTGCATTAAAACCAACTCGAGTTTTCTAACCACAGGACGGTGCAGAGTCGCCCCCTTCGGGTCATTGATGAGAAACCAACAGGAGACTTTCATGCCTTAGCAGATCAGTTTGATCTTTTGCTTAGGCGACAGTTGACTCAGTTTGTTGATAGAATGTGATATTATTAAACTAATTAATTCCACCTCTATAGCATCAAACATCTGAATCATAGATTTATATGGGACATTGCAAGTTTGACTTAGTATCTAATCTTGATTCATTCACTTGGTCTATGCCAATTTGCCAGGTTTATTCAAATATATATGATATGTGCCTTATTATTAATTAATATTTTATATTATAATATCAATATACGGTAATATTAATAACAAGACATCCAAAATCCCTGTAAACAGTCTCTGTGGAGATTGTACTTTTGATTTATAATGATTTGTAAAATGGGGAGACTTGAGTTTGTTCTCTAACTTGTCATTTGGTGCGACACTCCCTACTTCTCCTGTTTAAGTTGAATTTTAACTGTGTGTTTGATAAAACATTGTTCTTGTTTCTTTGCACAGTGTACTGGTACACAAAAGCCTGTTTTTCAGGATGGCTGTTCATTCAAAAGAGGACTTAAACCAAAGTGCATCTCAAGTGTATTTGTGGACTGATTCCACAGACGGAGAATAAATACACACTTAATGGTTTCTTCCTAGTTCCATAAAAAGGGCTTTGATTGATATGTCTTATTATATGTATGTCCAGAAATGTTTTCCAGTCAGATCCACCGTGTCCTGGTGAGTAAAAAGCAAAACTAACGTAATATTTGTATTATTGAACTGTTGTTCACTTTTCACAGAAAGGTGCATCTCTGATGGAGCTGTCCCTGGTATCATCCACAAAGTGCAGTGAACCACCACTAGAGGGAGTCCTGAGCCTAACGTTAGAACACAAGGTATTCTGAGAAATGAGAGAAATAATAATGAAATAATTATAAATGATGTGTTTTGTACTTTTATTGCACTTTTAGGATCCATAGTCATCGTCATCTCTGCTAAGACGTGTACAGCTACAGTGGCTTATGTCGCTCAGAAGATCCACAGACCTCTGTAAGTTATTATCTGGAAATACAGTTTAAATCTGTGGGGTAAAGTAGAATATAAAGTTACATTAAACATGTGTTTTAGGATCCAAAAACATTCCTGAATGTGACCCGCCAGATGCTCTCGCCTACACGAGAGCAGGTGAACGAGGCCTGGTCCAAAAAGAGACTTGGCCCAACACAAGTGAGAAGGCCTTCAGTCTTTGTAATCTGCTGCTACTCTGAAGTTCAGTCTAATCAAAACTGAAGAACCACTCCTGATGAAGGTCACAACTCCTGATGAAGATCTCCAGAAGAACCAGAACCTCCAACAGTGGTGAGAAAAAAGAACCTATACTAAATATTTGCAAGTTTTACAATAAGATTTTTGCTCTATGATCCCTATGTAATATTGTGATTGTGCAGATGCTGAGGGGCACATTGTGGATTTAATGGGGGAACAAAAAGAAACAAATGGTCTTTGGAGGACTCAAAAACAAGTGATGAAGCTCATTAGAAGACAGCACAGATGGAGAAAAATGACAATGACAATGCGACGGACTACAGGAACCATGTGTGACATCTGGCCTCATGGTGACAACCAAGGAGAATATTGTGGACTTCCACAAAAATGGATGGTGTCGATAATAAAGATGGTAACTGTGACTGAGGACCTGTCCTGAGGCATTCACACTGCCTCAGGTGTGGGGAAAGCCCAACAACGCCTTTACAACTTGAGGAAACTGAGGACTTATGGTGAACTACTACAACTGTGCCATCAGAAGTGGCTGACAGCTGGATTTTTAGAGTGGTTCTCTTGCTGCACTAAGGCCGACCTACACGCTCTCCAGTGGGTGGTGAAAACAGCAGAACAAGGAAACAGGAAATTAATCGGAGAACTTTCCCGCAGATCAATAGCACCTACACCACTCGCGACACTGCCCTGCTCATCACCTTTTCCACCTGTTGCAAAGTACAAATCCACAGAGGACAGAACAACCAGACTGACCAACAGCCTATAACTCCTGTCTGTGAGGCTGCTGAACAGTGCCCCCTTCCCCTCTCTGCCTTTCTCCCACGGACAACAACCTGCGGACTTTGAATTATTACTCATGTGCTGCCCTGAATGTCCTTATTGTGTTAATGTTTACACTGGAGATACTGAAGAGTTTATTGGGGGTATTGCACCTGTAGTATTTCACTTTACATCAAATCTGCAGTGTTTGATGCTCTAAACGTAATTCTGTTGTTTCTCTGACAATGATGATAAAATCTCTTGAATCTGAAATACATAAGGATAATCTAAATCTATCCTTGTCATCTAGAATAGTATATTTATAATATTAACTATTTAATACTACATGACTAGTGGGAGTCTGCTAAGGCTGCAACTAATGATTACTTTGGGAATCAATTCATCTTGTGATTATTCTTTCGAAATATCATTTAGTTGTTGCGAAGGCCCCATGAACATGTGATTTTTACAGCACTTTACCCAGATAAAGCTGAAGCGAAGCCACTTGAGGTCATTCTGGTGGGCTTTATTTACAGATGGATTGAAAATGACTTCCAAATAGCAGCTGAATGATGTCTGCCTTTGAAACTAGGCAATTTCATCTAAAACACAAAATTCTGATGTCATTTTCTTGCAATTTCTGCTGTGTCTGTCATAAAACCTCTTTTATCAGTTTATGGCATATTTGAGTCTGCTTATAAACCTGTTATCAACGATTTGGCAGCCCTAGAATTCACATTACTTACATACCTAGAAGAATTACTGCTAGTGCACTATTAAAGGAAAATAAATCTCGTATTGCTTACAGAGCCAATACCCAAAGCCAGTGCCCTGCACACACCGATTCATACATTTCATAAATACATACAATACATGTACAAAATGTTCTAAA